TAAATAGTATTGATCATTGGGGAGAGCTGGGGGAGGTCACACAAAACAAATGTGAGGATTTAGAGTTGTCAAGGTATTGCAGCCAGGGTCCTATTTCCAATTTTAGCTGCTTAACAGTAGGTCACATATTTGAGCATATGGCTGAAGAAAGTAGAAAATGGCAGGGACCAGCTCCTGGTCACGGGCCAAGTGAATGGTCTTCCACACACCTTGTATTCTGTTTCTGGTCTTGACATACACTCTTCAATGTGGGTGTGACGGGAAGGCTGAGACCCAATGGGCTGCCTTACAATTCGGTGCACGATGGACTGAACTTCGAAGGAAGCACCTGTCCACCTCAACCAAATAGTGGAATAAGAATTGAGAAAGTGAGTCTGAATCCAGTCCTCTAGGCTTGCATTCACAGGAGGGATGCCCTTCTCTCTTATGTTCTAAGGATAGTTTTGCTATGATCATTACGGGGCCTTTGTCTTGTGGTCCTGATGAAGAACCCTGGATGCCAGAGGCAGAGGGCCACTCCAAGAGCAAACTCTAGGCCCCAGACTCAGCAATACTGTGAGCTTGTTACAAATGTAAAGTCAGACCTTGGCCCAGGCCCTCTGAATAAGAATTTGTCTTTGAAAAGGTCCCCAGGGATGTGTACGCATAATGAAGTTTAATAAGCATTGATCTGAACCAATGAAGTCAACTCAGTTGTTTCCTCAAGAATCCCGTGGGACAATGTGTGTGTTATACAATTTTTTTGTCCTGTGCTAATATATTACATACATTTTAAAGAATTATTCATTTATTTATTTGAAAGAGCAACAGAAAAAGAGGGAGAGGCAGAGAGATCTTCTACCTACTGGCTCACTCCCCAAATGCGCACAGTAGCCAGGGCAGAGTCAGCGACCACAAACGTAGTTGTAGGGTTCCCATGTGTTTAGTAGAGACATAAGTCCTTCGGTCGTCATTTGCTTGTTCCCAGGTGCATTAGCAGGGAGGTGGATCAGAAGCAGAGTAGTCACGATCTGAAATAGGGCCTCTGATAGGGCATGTGGGTGTCCCAAGCACTGGCTCAATCTGTTGCACCACAATGCTTGCCCATGTGGTGAGCACTTAAAGATATGCACAGGATATAAAGGAAGATATGAAGTAGGAACTATATTAGAATAATTATGTTATTCTGCTGCTTCTTCCACTCAGATTGTATCCAATTCAGAAACAGCAGGCATAAGGAAAGAATTTAGAAACATTTGGGTGCAGTGGTCAGTGTGCTTAAAACCTCATGGGAAGCAAAACATAGATAGAAAGTCATTGATTGGGCTCCGATGGATATGTTTATGTTCATGGCTCGCTTGCTTGCTTTTTTTTTTTTAAGATTTATTTATTCCTACTAGAAAGACAGATCTATAAGGAAAAGGAAGATTTTCCATCTGCTGGTTGTCTATGCTGTTTCACTCCCTAAACAGCTGCAAAGGTTGGAGCTGAGTTGATCTGAAGGCAGGAGCCAGGAGCTTCCTCTGGGTCTGCCTCACAGGTTCAGAGTTCCAAGGCTTTGGGCCATCCTCGGCTGCTTTCCCAGGCCACAAGCAGGGAGCTGGATGGGAAGTAGAGCAGGCAGGACATGAACCAGTGCCCCAATATGGGATCCCAATGCTGCAAGTAGTAGGATTAGCCACTTGAGCCATGGAGTTGCTCCATACCCTTGGCTTTTATCATTTTAGTCAATTTGAGAAATGCACAGCTAATTTTCTCTTGAAGATATAGCAGGCTGTTCTCTACTCTGTAAAACAAAAATAGGAAATCTAAATTTTTTAAATCCAGCATTCAAATCAGGGAAGCATTCAAATCTCCCAAGCTTCAGTGAACCTAGCTGTAGACTGCATGCCCTCAAGTCAGTTACAGGGGTCACTAGTTCTAGAATATTCTGCATCTCTGCCTGTGCCATTCCTCCCCCAAACTTGAAGTTCACAGCATATACCAGGCTTTGTGTTTAGCAGTAAGGATTAAAGGATGAATTAAATACTTGGTCCTTCAGAGCCTCTTCCAGGGAAAGGGCAGTTTCCAGAAGGGATCATTACAGCAATGAAGTGTGTGTGTTGTCATGAGGTTTGGACAACACACACAAGGCTTATGGGAAGGACTCAGTAGCTGGTGATGTGTGAGCTGGAGGGGGTGGCCTATGATTTGGGCCTTGAAGGATGAGTAGAAGTTTACCACGACACAGGGCAGAAACGTGATATGGTGCGAAGGGACTTGCCCAAACAAAAGCACTGGGCAGGAATCTGCTTTCTCAGCAACCAAACCCTTGGGTGAAGTGCAAACTCTTCAGTCGATTAAATAAAGCCTTAAATCAACATGAAATAATAGCCCTGATCACTTAATGAAAAGTTGGTTCTTGGATTTGTGCAATCAAAACATCTCTCACAGCAAATGATTTCATAGAATTGGCCGCGACCGTGTGTGGAAAATTTCTCAGGAAAACACAGTGAGTAGTTCTCCTTTAGAGTAAAATCTGGAATGCCTGGGAAGGATCTGTGCCGGGGAAATTACATTTTCAGATTAGCTACATATAAATGGAAAGTCTGGTGGCAAACCCTGTCTGGTTCTGTTTTCCTTTGAGGAGATAAGTGTTGGTGGCTTCACAGTCGCATTTCATGCTTCTCTCGCCTACAGAGAGAAGCAGCAAGGGGACATTGGATATTTAGCCAAATGTATTGACTGTTTGCAAACATGCTCAGCTGTTGGACGTGAGTTTTAAAGACTGCCTAACACTCTAGTTTGTCAATATTTTATAAAAATAAAACTACTTCTGTAATACTCCTGATCCAGGCTGCTCCAAATATTTGGATATAATGACTAAACATAGAGAACATGCTTGCATGTCATTCTGTTACACATTTCTTATGAATTGTTAGAAATGTTTGTATTCATTATTCATGGCTGGGTCACAGCATATGAAGAAATACTTTAAAAAAATGGACATCCACTGTCAAATCACTGTCCCCAAACCCCACCCCGCCAAAGGAAAGCACTAATGCGAAGTAAATCCCTTTCATCAGATGCCACCTGGAAAGTTACTCATTTGTGCTTATTTGTCAGTATAATATGCTGATGCATCTCCCAAAATCTTGGCAATCTGAAAGGTGAAAAGGATGTCCTGGGTGCATTTGTACTCCTTGGACTGGTGCCTTCCGCTTCTGCCCCAGTAGTTCCTACTGTGCCCATTTCAAGACTGGCTGGGTTCTCCAACTGCTTTGGCTGCGTGAGATAGATACATCCACTTCCATGATCTGAATTCCTTTTGGAGACCTAAGTGCTCAGGGAATCCCTCTTGTTCAACTTGTTTAATTGAAAGCCAGGCCCATCAGTGCCCCAAACCCCAACCTGAACCATGCTGTCACTCCGAATCAGAGTGAGCTCCATGCTGATGTCCCAGTAAGGAACAACTTGAAGGTTCGGTACCAAGTACAACCCTAAAAGGATGGGGAACATCCGGTGCCCTCTGAATCAACAAAAAGAAATCCCTGGAAAACAAGAACACTTCATATCAAGAAGTCAGCAGTCACCTGCCTCACCACTTCTGCCCCAACTTCCAACTTTGGGACTCCTGCGGCTTAGAATGTGTGGCTCAGACGGCCTCATGCCTTCCAAGCTCCTGGCATGTCTACACCCCCATGGCTGCAATTTCAGCTTTGCTGACTGAGAGCACCCATCAAACAGACTCGAACCATCTATGCCTGCTTGTGTTCTCCAGGTTGCATCCTAAATGATCCGATCTTTCCCAAGACTCTCCCTGTGTTTCTAGTGATCCCAGGATGAGGATTTCAGGCCTGAATTTCAGGAACCTCCAGAATCCCCATGGTGGGATCCTGTCCTCAGCTCCTACCAACCTTGCCATCTCCTTCACCTCATCACGGCCTTCGTGCTGGCCATTGCAAATTCCCTGTGCCCCTGTGTCCTAAACACTCACTCATCTCTCTGTCCACCTGGCAGTCTGTCTAGCGCTTCCCATTTGTCACACTTTCAGCTTAGCATCACCTTCCCAAGGGAGCCCTGCTGGACCCCAACTAGGGTGTGTTCTATGCTACATGTTCTAGTATCCTTCCCATCCTTGGCTGTCTCCTGGAATGTCCCTGTGAGTATCTTCACACCCCTTCTGGAATGGTGTGTTATGCCTCACCCTCCTATTGCAGTGCAAACTTCACAAAAGCAAGGGCCACAGCCAGGTTAGCACTGCCGGATCTGCATGGCATTGCACGGTGTTTAACACACAGCAGGCACCAACAATCCTGGCACACACACACCAACGTTGCAGTGTCAGAATGCTTTTTCACCTCCCTAATGTTTTTTTCATTGCCTGGCGAGGCTCATGTAGGTGGTGGGAGTTTTTGCTGATTCATGAGAACTTCAGATAATTAGAACATTCACCTATTATTCACTTGTGCTTCGTGCGCTTTTGCTCAGTGAGTCGTAGTCTATGTGTTCGATTTATTGCTGCAAATATTGTTAGCAGCTAACTCTCACACAGTGCTCAGTATGAACAGGCAGAATTTTATGGTGCTTTGTGTATTTCAACCAGACACAACCCCAGGATACGTAGTAGTTTTTGCCATTCTGTGGGTGAGAAAACCAAGTCTCAAAGGGGTTAAGGAAGTTGTCTAAAGCTGGTATTAACAGAAGTGGCGTCTTGCGTTTTTAATCTTTACACTACGCTGCCTCTCAAGAAGTATTTCATTTTTTTTTTTTTTAAGTAGAGAGGAGGTAATGTTCAACCTGGCTTTTGAAGGACAGGTGGGAGTTTCCCGAGAAAGGGGAAGAACGGAGCACCCTCAGGAAGGAATCGGCTGCCTCCAGCCCCAGAGCCACCAGGCCAAGAGCCGTCTGGGAGAGGCAGGTAGGCACCCAAGTTCTACCCCAAAGGGAACCCAGGGCCAGGGGACACCAGGGCTGGGGCTCAAGAGAGGACTTCCGTTTCCCCAAGGTGCCCAGATGGTTTCGGCTGTGGGCGACTCTGAGGCTTTCTGAAGGGGAGTATTTGTGTGAATTGGCCCTCTGTAGATGAGTAAGCGCTTTCCCGGTGAGAGTTATGATGAAACTGTGGCCGCACCAAGTTGTGTGACTGAGTTGCGTATCGATTCTAACAGTCCACTTTGAGGAGTCCGCGAAGTCCCAGAGAGCAAGGCTCAGAAGAACAAGCATTGCGTATGTATCAGAGTTATTTTCTGCTGTTTCCTCCTTGTTCCGTGTGAGTCTGCTCTGTGACTGGTGGGGTAGAGGGCGTAAGGACGGAGCTGCTGTTTCTACTCTGTGTTTCTGTACTCCCATGTGAGGCTTTGCAGCTCTCTGCGCATGCACTCATGTCCTTTGAGAGCACGCTAACAGGGATTCTGATGGTTAAGGATCCAGGCTGTTTGTATCAGAGAAAGCACATGCGACATGATGAACGGTTTAAAAATACCAGCAATGTGTCTATGGAGCAAATCAGTCCAAAGGAATTAGAACATTTGGCCTGAGGTTCAGGACATGATCAGAAGTCCTCTTTGAACATTCACAAGCCGGTGCCCAAGAGTGAGAGACCCTGGAGCCTGGGAGCTGGGAGGCTTATGCCTTTGCGTGAGGGGAAGTAGCCGGTTTCTCTGCAGTCATCTCTAACTAAATGTTCTGTTTTCTGCACTCCAAATGTGGACAACAAACAGCAGTTGTAGAAGCTGGCCTTGCAACATGGTCCTAGTGGGAATCTGATATTGCTTCACCATGCTGTCGTCTTTTCAGAGGTTCTGAAATAGCACTTTTACTCACCACATCTTCAAAGCAACAGCTCTTGCTTAATAGTTGAAAAGAAGCACTTGGCGGGGGAAGGGTAGTCGGTGGAGAGAATGTTTACTTTTTCAATGTTGTAAGGAGAATATTTTAATGTTATGGGTGTCTTTGGGAATCTCATTTCTTTTATTTTTATCTGTTTATGTGATGTATAATGAAAGGCAATCATGTGTGTCACCCATTCACCAGAAACGGTGCAAAACACAAAAATGGCTAACAAGCCCCCAAGCCGATTGTTAAAATTGAGAGTAGCTTACTAGAGTGGCTGAAACCTCTGTTAGTGAGAAGGCTGCATCCTCACCCACTATGGCTCAGACCGGACATACTGGGGAATCCTGGATTGCTAATCTTAGAAAATGCTGTCTCCATGTCAAGCTTTGTTTTTAAGGTTTGTAGCCTTTTGAGCTACTCTCGAGCATAAATTTGTTCTTTCCTAAGGATGCCAGAAATCATAAGTAAAAATGTGTGAAATTCATTTGACGTAAAATACTCTTTAAAAATGCATACTTACTTTTAAATATGTTATACATTTTCCATGAACTTGTAAGACCCCCCACCCCGCATAGAGATACAGGCTGTACATCTATATTCCTGAATTTCAAGTAACAATTTTTACCATTAGCCTGTGTCAACTATCTCATGGGGCATTCTTAACTCTCAAAATGATTTGCTGTCCATCTGAAATCCAAGTTTAACTGAACATCTTCTATTTTCCCGGGCAGTCCTACCACCAAGGAAGTGGAAATGAGTGTCCCCCCAGCTAATTACCTGCAGACGGCTAAGATGGGATTTCCCCCCGTTTACATGTGGTGATTGATTGACCATCGAGGTCTCAGAGTTCGATTCCATAAGAGAGTATTGTAAATTTGACGTTTCTTAACACTCAGAGATCACAAGCTTCTACATTTTCAACTTTGGGCAAAGCAAACAACTCGTAAATATTGCTAGTTTTTCAAGTAAATTGACCACAACCCAAGAATTTTGATATTAACTGTGTTCCCCTGAGATGCTCTGAGTTACAGTTCTGTGTCAGAGAAATGTGGTCAGACTTTAGACTGACAGTAAGATTGTATTTCGAAACCTTTTGACACTCATCCCATTCTTAAGTAACTGCGTTCCAAATCAAGCAAGAATCATAATTTCCTCTGTCTGGGATAAGATTTCAAGCCTGGTCATAGCAAACCATGGAAGTCAACAGGGAGAAGCATTCACCCTCTTAAGCAGGTGAATCACACCCAAGCCGGCTGTCAGTGCCGTGGTGGACATCCACATATACTAGTCCCTCATGAACCAAGGAGGAGGCAATCGGCACAAAGCCAGAGGAGCCTGCAGTAGGCGCCTGCTTACAGGTACACATCCATAATATGAACCCTATGTCTCTATACTTTCTCACTACACAGATGTGGTAAAGGCAGCACAAGGAGAAATAGAATGTGAGTGGTAAGGGTGATGGATTCAATGTTTTTGTGAGAGAAAGATTTAATCAGGAGACAGCCACTTTGAAATGATATAAATTGTGACAAGATGCATTGTAAAAATGCAATGATCCAGTCTTACACAACTTCTCAAATCATACGGAGGGATTAAAAACAAAACTTTTTCTTGGCTTCCGAGTTATTTTCTTCCTTGTTAAATGTTCTAACCATGCTCTATTTGAAATGTCATTAAGTAGAATTCTTTTTTTTTTTTTTTAAGTAGAATTCTTAAAAGTGAAATACTTCTTTACAAGTGCTGTCTGCCGAGGCAGAGGCCTCCCTCTCTGACTCACTCCTGGCCACGATCAGACGATCCCCACGCTCTGCATTTTCTTTTTCTTAGCCGAAGGGCGGTGTTTTAAAGCATCTGTGCCACCCTGCTCTGTTCGACTTCACCCAGACAAGAAGAGAACATTTGGGGCAGTGTGTTGGGGAGTCTAGCGCAGCAATACGATTTGCCTTGTTTTTCCTTCCAGACATCAATTTTCCTGTTTTACCAGTCATCTCACAACAATGCACATCGCAGCCATACTGTGATTAAAGGGGAGAATATGCCTATTACCCACATCCTCCACGTGTTAGAGCATGGAGAGACTGGGGGTGGCAAACCAAAGGGAATTCCCGTGTGCTCTCCGCTCCTGCACGACCTGACTCTATGGGAAAGCTCGCTGTTAAGTGTTAATGTGCAGCCGAAGCTGGTCACTCGTAACAACAGACAGAGGTATTATGTTTTATTTGGGTTACACGGTTCTCTTGCAAATAAAGGAACTGAAATTAAACTGTCTTTACAAAAATATTCAGCAAATGATACTTCTGACTTCTTCCAGTGCTTGAATTCTTTGCCATGGAAAATGGAAAATGAGCCTCCTGTTGAACATAGTATCTGTTTAAACTTGTCTTTGCTGAGTGGAGAAAGGTTGATGTTATATGGAATGAAACAAAAAGCCTTTTTTTAAAGGGCATGCATTGAGGAGTGAAGGGTATAACTACGCAAACCACATTTAGGGATGGGAAGGGATTTTTTTTAGTACTTGCGGAATTTGAAACAATAATAATGGAATGGAAACATAGGAAAAAAGGCTAAATATTTGACCACTGATGCAAATTGAATCATTAGGTGCTCACATGCAATGTAGAATGTGGAATCTGTTTTTAAAAAGAAAATGGTTGTTGATTTTCCACTGTATTGTAAAGCCAGAAAGATCTCTCCAGTTCCTCATGGCCCCACCATCACCCACACCAGCCAACTCCAGGCATATAATCCTATGCGAGAGTGAGTTCTCGTTAAGGCACAGTTGCTTGGGAAGTAACCCCCAGATGTACCACTTCAGCAACTCAGATGAGAGGGGTCTGTGACTCTGTGTTTGTACTTAGCACTCCCAGTGAGGCTGGTGCTACAGTTGAGTGGTGGGGAGGGGAGGAATGGGAAAGGGGTCCAGACACACTGCTCCATGCTACCCTGTCCATTATTCCCAGTGCCCAGGGAGGAGGACGGTTCATCTCAAGTTATTCTGTGACAACCAACAGAGCTAGGCGTCTGTCTGCACAATGCACTGAAAATTATAAAGCCTCGTTTCTAGTCCTCACCTCACTATTGGCTCAGCAACCTCAGGCAGATCCGCCTAGACTCTTCAGCCCAGAGTTAAAGTAAGCAGCTCAGACCACACAGGGTCTCCTCAAAGTGTTCCCAGGTAAAGGATAGATTTCATGGATGTGTGGTTTCAATATCATGAGCATTAAAATCAACTTCACTTTTCCCTTCTGGCCTTTTCCGATGAACGTGTTGAAGGGACCTCGTGTTTATTGAGAAGCAGCTGTCATAACAACAGGACTCCTCAGAACCTGTAATCTACAAATGGACAATGTGACTCCCTTTAGGGTCGAGACAGGAGGTAGTCAGGGCTTGATAGATAAGGCTTTCCGTAACTATGAGTCCACCATAAGTTCCTCAGTTCAACCTGCCCAACCCGCAGATTTCTGGTCTCTACCGTCTTCCATTGCCCTACTAAGGACTACTCTGCAGTGATAGCTCTTCCAACAAGAAACCCGAGGGCGAGTTCCAACTCATTGCTTCTATTTTTCCCAGCAATTCTCTTTCCTTCCAAGAAGATATGCATGAAGCTTCTATGTCATAGGAGACTTTGCCTGAACAAGCGAAAAATGCTTCCGGAGGCTAATATCCAACCAAATTCACTTTCTCCACCATGTCAAGGCAGAGGTCCTTTCCTTTGCTTGAAAATAATGACACTGGATTTGTGACAAGCTAACGGGGGGGGGGGGGGCCTGTTTGTTTTCTCTGTAGTCTGTGTAGTTCATGGAGCAGGGAGTCAGGTGGATTAGCAAGTGTAATCTCGAGAGAAGCAGCATCAGCATCACCCGGAATCAGGAGAAGCATCTCCTGGAAGCCTGCTGGAACTGCAGACCCTCTTGCTACACCCCCAGACCTGCAGATCCACAAATGCTCACTGGCGTGAATGCCTTCTAGTCACAGGTGTACTTTACCAAACCCTGCAAGGATTGGATGCTCTGTGAAGTTAGGGACCTCAGAAGCAAGGACTCTGGATCAGGTCCTCTGGCCATCGCAATTTCCTTGCCTGAAACAGGGGAATAATTAAAACCAATAGTAACAGTAGTGTCCTTTTCAGATTTTGTGTGAGAGTGCGTTTGTAGATAATGCTTCGCCTGAAGTCTGGAGCCAGGTAAGCAGTGATTCGATTGTTGCTATTTATATTATAGCAAGGGCCAATATCTGATTATTGGTGGCTTATTGATGCCTGCCACACTGCACCAGAGGGAGGGACACCCAGTGAGAACTGATTTGAATGATGGTGGTGACAGAGGAGTGCAGTTGTAGGGACAGACAGATCTGGCTGGTCCTCTGTGCCAGACACTTACGAGAAGCTGAGAATTATTTTGCCTTCTAAGCTTGGTCCTTTACCAGGTAAAGGGCAGGGTTATATGCCATAGCCCTGCCATTGATTTAAAAGTGCTTTCTCTCTGTAAGTTCTTCCTTGCCTTATGAAAACAATCAGTGGGATAGTCGTCATGGTCCCCACGACAGCCCAGTGTGTCCAGGACACAACAGATCGTGAGGTCACCCAATTCACAAATCTAGGACTCGTTGCTCCACACACTGCTAGAATAACAGGATAGGGTTCCTTAGGACATCGCTAAGAAGTTATCTTGGCACAATAAGCTCAAATGCTGACTTGAAAGTCATTTGACAAGAATTGGTCAGCCTTTGTGTGGTGTCTTTTGGGATCAGACAACTCTGTCTCCCTGCTTATAACCTCGGTGACCAAGGATGCTTTCTCAATTTAGTGTTTGGTCATGGAATGACAGACATTCAGAATGCACATCAGGGAAACTTCAGGATTCATCTTTTTTTTTTTTTTCAAATGTGGTGCCTTGTAAGTCAGAAATGTAATCCCCAAACTCGGAACTCTATAGTAAGTGTGCCCCTGTGGTCAGGTGTCTCCTCAGCCAGAGGACTCCAAGCCCCTCATGGTACACAGCACAAGCACCATTTTCTCATCCTCTTCACCAGCCCTATGAGCTTCAACCGTAGCTCTGGTCTAAGCAGTTGCTCTTTCCTTCCAAGAGCGGAACAGGCCGATTGGGCACCCATTCGGGAGCAGCTCAAACCCCATATTGAGGCTGACACTTCCGTTCAGGTAGAAGTCACTCCATCAACCCAGTGACACAAAGGAGTAGAAAACACACAGTCCAGGGTGAGATCCAGGAAGAGGCCCTGTCTGAACAGTCCCAGCAAAGAGGTGCACCAGTGACTACAAGCCACAACCAACAACTACCCACAGCAGCCCGCAGGTCCAACCTCCTGTGTTCAAGGCGCAGCTCCTGGTAGCCATGGAGATGGCTGCCAAATGCACCATTTTCCCACCTAGGATACCTGCAGGCCATCACACAGCCCCCAGAACACTGTCATTCTTTCCAGCCACCCTCCACCCCCAGGGGCCCAAAGGGAAAAGGGAATTTCCCCAAGAGATAAGCACCCTTGACCTTGGCACCCTTCCCTGTCAGCTCTGCTGGCCTGTTCTTCCTCAGGAGCATGTCCATTTCTGAGGACTCCTGGGCATAGCTGATATGGAGGAAGTCAGGAGCTGTCAGGTCAGCCTCTGCAGCCAATCCCAGGCAGTTGTGACGATCCAGGAGGGGGATGGAATGGGGCCAGGGGCAGAGGCCACAGAGCGTGTGTTTGTGTGACCAGAGTCACGGGGTCTAAAGAAGCCTAGCCACGCCTCACTGGTTTTATTTTCAATTATTTTTAAAGCCTTATTGCTCAATGAACCCCAGTCAGTTCTTGCCATGCATTTTTTTTTCTACTTAATATTTAAACCTGTGTATAACGATGATGAAACTTAATCTGGAGATTTGAGGTTTGTAGACAAAGAGAAAAATCACCCAAAACAATGAATGTGGTAGAAATTTTAACTTGCAAGAAAACCTTCAGGACAGCTTTTTTGTGAACAGAAAGCTGTGTTTTGTCAGAGCTTATAAGTCAGATCTTTCACCTTTTCCATTTGTCTGGAAGTCCTAACTTCTGACTGGGCTCACATTTCACTCTCCTTACCTCAGCACCCAGTCTGGGAGTGTGGGCAATGAGGTGGCTTGGAGTCTCACTCAGGAAACTCTACACTTTGAAAGCTACTGTCCATAATGTTTTTATGTTGATACCTCTGTTTTGTAAGTCCACCCTGATGTTCAGAACAAAGTTTTTGCAGGCTGGGCATTTGCAAACATCCAAAATTTGGCTCAATAGAGGTCAAAGCTTTTAGTGAAGCTCAGTGTTCTATTCACTAGCAAGGAGCCCGAAAGCAGTATTCAGTGGAATATTTTGATAACAAAGTACCACGTGAAGAGTCCCGTTTGTAAGACCCTGATAAAAGGTTTTGCAGAACTAAAGATGTGCTAACAGAAGAGAGGAGTGAGTTAATTGTGGGAATTGAAGAAATCTCTACACTTCATTGTAGTTAATATTCCAATTAAAATTGTATATTCATGGACAATATAAATATAACTGATGCCTCATTGTAATTATGTATTCAATGCACCTTTTATTGTAAATATGTATGTTCTATAAAAGCTATATAATGAATATAGGCAAAATGTTATGTTACAGCTTCAATCACGTTATCTATATCTTTTTTTTTTTGATGTTAGGAAACAGGCTTACCCAGGAGGCTAGCCATCCTGGAGGAAAGGCAAACATTTTCAGTTTCAAAAATGTTTTTCCAGATCCTCGTGCAAGCAGGAACAGATTTTTAAGGAGAAAGGAGAGTTGAGGGAAGTTAAGAAGGACATTGGACTTGGAGCTCTGTGTAGACTATTGCTCTAAAACAATTCATATCCCAGCTTGGATGGTGGACAGCAGAAGTTATATTTTCCCGAAAAGGAATAAGCAAGTGTTCTCACAGCACACAGGCTACAGTGGGTGAAGGTGGCTGGCATGCGGTGGTGCGAGTACCCAGGATGGTCAGTGTTGTTGCTGATCTGAAACTTCCATGATTACTTATCTGCATTTTTTATCGTTCTATTATTACTGTTGCTTTCTATCAATCGCTTTTCTATTTGGGGGCACTTGCAACTCCATTATTACTCGTTACGTGCTTACACAGACTGCTTTCATTGGTTTGAAAGGTAGAGTTAGCAAAGGGAGTGGGGAGAGTCAGAGACAGGAGAGACCATCCATCTTCTGGTTTGCTTCCCAGATGGCCACAGTGGGCAGGGCTGGCTAGATCGAAGCCAGGAGCCGTGAACCTGGGGGTCCTCTGCTGCTTTCCCAGCTGCATCCGCAAGGAGCTGGATCCGAAGTGGAGCAGCGGCAACTCGAGCCAATGCACCTGTGGGAAGCTGCATTTCTGGCTGCAGTGCAGCCCGTTAACTCGGTACTCCACAGCACCAGCCACTGCACATTTCTGCCATCAATGGCTTTCTGGCCATCGGCAGGTCGATCCCTCTGACAGAACAGTTTATTCCAGAAAGCTGTGATTGGCTTCTCGGGCTCCCCATTCTTACGAAAGCCTCTTTCTTTGAGAGGAGGTAATGGAGACTGTCTCACTTTCCTCATTCCCCGGGTTTTGTCCTTGCTGCTCTTCAGGCAGCAGAGTGACTTTCTAATGTGCCAGCTATTGCGTTACATCCCTCTCAAAGAGAGGGAGGGAGAGAGAGTGAGAAGATCTTCCTTCCACAATAGGCAGGGCTGGCCCTGATCAAAGCCATTTTCCTTCCTTTGTTATCAGAAAACAAACACTCCAGTGCATAAACACCACATACCTTCACATCACACACCTTTCCTTGGCTTGAAGCAGGAGGTGGTTGGTCACTCAAGAGCTGCAAAGATAATGCCTCAGTGCAGATCTTGACTTTTTCAGGACTGCAATCCTAACCAGAGGAGGCGCGTTACAATCTACACTGTGGAAATAAGTACTCACTCCAGAGCCGAAAGGAAGTGCTGATAACTTGGGTAGAACTTGCTTAGCTCAGGAATTCAGAGAGGTGAAATGACAGGCGAATATCATCTTATTGTTCTTCTCATCCATAACTTTTGGGACAGTTACATTGTCCTGCAAAAGTTTAGAAGTTAAAAACCAAGTGAATATCATTAATGAGAAATATTAATGAGGTATCATTAATGAGAAACCAAACCAAACAAACAAAAAACTAAGGCACCAATATAAAATTATATGAAATAAAAGTGCCTTTAACAGTGAAGCAAATTTCATGTAGGATGCTGAATGAAGAACAAAACAGTATGAATTTGCTTCTGATGAGGCAGAAGTAAGGCACGCAGTGAGACTGATGGGTGCAAGAAGATACCAGAACTTGATAGAATAGTGTTTTTTTTCTTTTCTAAACATGGTGAGATATCCTGGGGGAATCCAGACACTATGAGAATGTAATAATTGGGAAAAATTCAGCTATAAAAAAGTAACTATGGTAAATAATTCATGAATCAGAAAAACAATATGAGAATGCTTGTGAAGGAGATGTTGGAGTCAGCATTGGACCCAGAAGTTAAGACATGATTTAAGATGCTTGCATCTCAAGGGACTGGCACAGTGGAATATCAGGCGAATCCTCTGCCTGTGGTACCTGCATCGCACATGGACACTGGCTCATGGCCAGGCTGTTCCACTTCCGACCCATCTCCTTGTTTATGGCCTGGGATAGCAGGCCAGGATTCATTAAGTGCTTGGATCCCCTGCAACATGTGGGAGATGTAGAAGAAGCTCCTAGCTCCTGGCTTTGGATCAGCTCCACTCTGGTTATTGTGATCATTTGGGGAGTGAACCAGCAGGCAGAAGATCTGCCTTTCCAAATAAAAATAAAGAAATATTTATGTTATAAAAAAATGTTTGTATCCCACATGAGAGTAGCTCAGTCAATACAGGCTTTGGTTCCTGGCCAGACTTCCTTGAAGGCAGTGAGTGATAAATCAAATAATTGGGTCCCATGTGGGAGACTTAGATCAGGTTCCAGGCTCTTGGCATCGACCTGGCCCAGCCTTAGCTATGCTTGAAATTTGTGGAGTGAATTGGTGCATTGAGTCTCTCTCTGTCTCTCTCTCTCTCTGTCTCTTATTAGATAGCTAGCTAGCTAGACAGATAATTGATAAGTAAAATCATAAATAATTAAACATTGGAAGCATTACTTCAGAAAAGTAGGCTGTAAGAGAACCCTCTAGATTTAGAATGGATTCTCTGAAGCTGCAGGAGCCTGGAGCGGCATTGCAGAGGACTGAGAACAAATCTTGCTCTCCAAAGCTTTGCACCTGCTCCCTTGTGCCAACACCCGGAGAAGTCCATCCTATCACCCGGGTTTAAGTGGTGGCCTCTTTGTGGAGCTCATGTCCCAGGGGATGATGCTGACAATTGTTTCCCCTCTGATAGTCTGTGACTCAACGGGAGCAATGCAGTTCCACAGGCAGTAAAAATATTCTAGACTCTTCCCTTCCAATGCTCACTGTTTACTTCCTCTGCACTTCCTCTTCCTGCCTCTGCTTGCAGCTCCGTTCTCAGCAGGCCTCATTGGGGGAGGGTTCACCCTGACTTCCCAGGGTGTCTTGCCACCAAGCTCTCTCCAGGGGCTCGGCATCTAGCGTGAGGGCTTTTGATGGCGATGGTAAGTGTAGTCGGATTCTGGAAACATCCTTGAGCTTTCACCCTTTCCTGGGCACAGTGTCAGATGGCCAGGGATTGGAAGGTAAATGTACCACAAGCTGTGGTCCTGAGGAAGTCACTGAGAGCCAGCTGGAGTGGGATGCTCTCCATAAGCCCTTGAAACACTTGTCCCTCTCTCTTTCAGGCAGTAGCGGAAGCCCATGATAGCCAGGTGGGTGAAAGGGAGCAAGGACGTTCTTTCTACCTGCCTGGAAAGAAGACACCTTCTGGCCTGCTGAGTGAGTGAGGTGGACTCCAGGGGGAGGGAGGACGACAGAGTGGGAAGCAGCACCCTTGGCCTGCCTTTTTGTTCTGTGTTGTGTCTCCAGCAAACCATGCCAGGGGGAGGACAGTATGTGCCACTGATGCCATTAATTCCAGCGCTAGGTATACCAGTACAGGGAGAGAAAGAAAAAGACCCAGTCCATGCAAGCCTAGCCTGCCACCCCTGTGAAAATGAAGTGGGAAGACAAGCTCCATTCCATCGCCTTCTCAGCAGCAGGGCGAGATTTTCCAGTATCTGGCTGCAGACTGAGCTGGGAAGCTGGCAGGTGCCCACAGGACCCTTGTATATCAATCCGACTGGAAAACCTAAGCCTCTGTTTTTATTTCAGTGGCTTGACTGGCATGTGCTTTGCCTAGCAGCTCTTTTTTATTTTATTTTATTTTTCAACTTCATGCTGCTACTTGAACATAAGCTGCGTTTGTCGTTGGCTGCTCATGTTACGAGCTTGCCTATGCGTTGAGGCATGCCGGCATAGCATGTCCTTTCCAAATGTTCATTGTGGTCACTTTCTCCGGGGTGCCAGGAATTTAACCAGGAAGGCCCACGTGGATCAATTCTATCCTATTCTTTGCTTCTAAGCTGGTCCCAAGAAAGATGGAGGTGCCACTGAAAAGTAAGAGAGATTTTGAATAACCCACGGCCCCTCTTTGCATGGATAATGAAAGAGTGTCTTTCCTTTCCAAGAAAAAAAGAATCCATTTCAAGGATGTGCCGTTGATAATGGAACAGGAAAAATAAAAACGCCCACAGAGTCACAGCATCCTGAACAGGTGTTTAGCCACTGCAGGGAATACAGTGTCCATTTCCTTGGGAGGGTTTGCCCAGGGGATCACTTTCCAAATTTCCATTGAGATAATGCTGGCAGAGTAAGGGAGATTACTGCATGAATCACAAACCATGTATATCAACCCCTTTGTAAAGAGAGGATTTTTTTTCTTTTCCTTACATGCCAGTGAAATGGAAAACCCCGAGCCAGCTAGGTGAGCTTAACCTGTATTCACTCACATTATCTTTTTCAAGAAAAATAGGGGCCATTGATCTTAGTCATGATGCAGGTGCTGTAAGATGCTCATGGCTCACTGGCAGCTTGCTCCTGCCTGTTACACGGGACTGAGCAGTTCCAGGGCTGAGTGCGAGCCCAGTATTCCTGTAGGTAGGTTTTTTTTTTTTCTGCTTCAGTGTTAGATGCATACTCAACCTTTTCACCTGGTTTCTTTAAGCTGGTTTTACAGAGTTCTAAAGGGGAACACGACATTCGTGCTGTCCCTCAAATGGCATTGGCAATTCCTCCTTCCCCTCTTTTTTAAGATTTATTTATTTATTTTTATTGCAAAGTCAGATATACAGAGAGGAGGAGGGACAGAGAGGAAGATTTTCCATCCAATTGGCCACAATGGGGGAGCTGAGCTGATCCGAAGCCAGAAGCCAGGAACTTCCTCCAGGTCTCCCTGGTGGGTGCAGGGTCCCAGGTTTTGGGCTGTCCTAGACTGCTTTCCCAGACCACAAGCAGGGAGCTGGATGGGTAATGAGGCTGGTTGAATTAGAACCGGCACTCATACGGAATGCAGGTGTGTTCAAGGCGAGGACTTTAGCTGCTAGGCCACTGTGCTGGGACCTGGAACCTTATTCTGAGACTACTCTGAATAGTGATTCAGGCACAAATAAAGCTTATTTGCTTGCTGAAAATATGTTTATTCTCTAAGCTTATTCTGTCCTCACCAAGAACTAGGAGAGGTTACAAATTCTCCAAATGGCGGGGGTGGGGGCGGGGGAAGAGTTGCTGTTATAAAAACCATCCTGAAAAAGCTGGGGTTTAAAAAATTATCTGGGGCCAGGGCTGTGGTGGAGCAGCCCTGTCTACAGGAGGGACATCCCATGTGGGTGTTAATTCAGGTCCTGGCTGCCACACTTCTGCTCTAGCTCCCTGGGAATGTGCTTAGGGATGTGGTGGAGGATGGTATAAGTCCTTGGGTCCTGGCACCTTGTGGGAGACCCAGAAAAAACTCCTGGCTCCTGGTTTTGGACCAGCAAGGCCATCTGAGTAGTGACCTAGTGGATGGAAATTCTCTATCTCCAAATATGTATATATATATAAACATATATATGTTGTATATATATGTTTAAATATATATATACTGTGTGTATATCCTGTATGCATACTGTGCCTTTCAAATAAATAGACAAGCTTTTAAAAATTGTCAGCTCCACACAGCTGATTTTTTTAAAGAAATTTGAAAAGCATAGTTATAGAGAGAGAGGGAAATCCAGAGAGAGACAAAAATCTTCCCTGTTCTGGTTTCTTCCTTAAGTGGCTAAAATAGCCCAGGCTGAACCAAGCCAAAGCCAGAACCTGGAACTTCATTCAGTTTGCTCCAAGGGTGGCAGGATCCCATGTGCCTGGACTATGTTTCGGTGTTTTCCCAGGCATGTTTGCAAGGAGCTAGAGTGGAAGTAGAGTAGCTGACACCTGAGCCAGTACTCAAATGGGATGCTCATGTTACAGGTGGCAGCTTAACTCACTTCATCATGATGCTGGTCCTGCTACTTAAGTTCTTAAAATTGATATTAGCATTCTCACTGTCACATCAATCATTATTGTGATGGGTGGTGGATTTAAGCTAAACAAATTTAGGCATCAACAAATGTTCATGACACTCAGAGTTATATGCCTGACTATATTATCACAAGGGAAAACGTGAGACCATTTTGTTGATCATGAAGTTCTGTTTGGTGATCATGATTCTCATTTAGTCCTCTCACAAACCTGAGAAATGGCCTTTCCTCCTGTTTTCAAAATTAGGAAGCTGAGGTCCAGAGAGGTTAAACAACTTGCCTGGGGCCCCACAGCTGATGAACTACAGAGTGGATGTTCAACCCACACTTACTTTTCATCCAAGTCTGTGTTCTGAGTGCTGGCCCAGTACATGTCAGCTGAACTTGCTTCCCAAAAATCCAGCTTGAGCAGCTGGCCCGGGTATCCAAGGAGTTCCCATTTTAAGTTTCAGTCACCTCAGGTCAAAAATAGCTGGGGAAAAGGGGGCATATATTGAATGTCTTACTTTCTTTCTTGTCATTATTTCCTATGTAGTGCTATATAACAACTTATTTCATAGCATTTCTATAGTACTTGGTTTTTAAATAGTGGGGAGATGACTTAAAAGCATAAGGATGACTCCGTATCTACACAAATTTGACACAATTTAATGAAACAGAGTTGAATTGGCCTGGATTCTTGTATCCTCAGGGCATGCAAGATCCAATTCTCTATGGATACTGAAGGTTGGCTGTCCATTCATACTAGTTTTCCATGATTCTTCTAGTTTTGTTTTTCTGACAGTTCTACAGTTACAAAAGTACTGAGCTGTCTTTCTTGGTCATCTCCTTAGGTGGCCTCAAGACCCTGATGATGGACAGCCTTCACATGGGCATGCCCAGTGCCCCTCTGGTGAAGCACACCACTGGGGCTGGACTCAAGACCCATAGGCCTCGAGTCATGTCCAAGAGTGGACACAGCAACGTGAGGATCGACAAAGTTGATGGCATATACTTGCTCTACCTGCAAGACCTGTGGACGACCGTCATCGACATGAAGTGGAGATACAAGCTCACCCTGTTTGCTGCCACTTTTGTGATGACCTGGTTCCTTTTTGGAGTGATCTACTATGGCATTGCTTTTATCCATGGGGACTTAGAACCCAAAGAGCGCATTTCGAATCACACCCCTTGCATCATGAAAGTGGACTCTCTCACAGGGGCCTTTCTCTTTTCCCTGGAATCCCAGACAACGATTGGCTATGGTGTCCGCTCCATCACGGAAGAGTGTCCTCACGCCATTTTTCTGTTGGTGGCTCAACTGGTCATCACCACCTTGATTGAAATCTTCATCACGGGCACCTTCCTGGCCAAAATCGCAAGACCCAAAAAGCGGGCCGAGACCATCAAGTTCAGCCACTGTGCAGTCATCACCAAGCAGAATGGCAAACTGTGCCTGGTGATCCAGGTGGCCAACATGAGGAAGAGCCTTTTGATCCAATGCCAGCTTTCTGGCAAGCTCCTCCAGACCCATGTCACCAAGGAGGGAGAGCGGATCCTCCTCAACCAAGCCACAGTCAAATTCCACGTGGACTCCTCTTCCGAGAGCCCCTTCCTTATCTTGCCCATGACCTTCTACCACGTGCTGGATGAGACCAGCCCCCTGCGAGACCTCACTCCGCAAAACCTGAAGGAGAAGGAGTTTGAACTCGTGGTCCTACTCAATGCCACGGTGGAGTCCACCAGCGCTGTGTGCCAAAGCCGAACCTCCTATGTCCCGGAGGAGATCTACTGGGGTTTTGAGTTTGTGCCTGTGGTGTCGCTCTCCAAAAATGGAAAGTACGTGGCGGACTTCAGCCAGTTTGAGCAGATCCGCAAGAGTGCAGACTGCACACCTTACTGTGCAGATTCTGAGAAGCAGAAGTTGGAGGAGAAGTACAGGCAGGAGGACCAGAGGGAGAGGGAGCTGAGGACCCTGCTGCTACAACAGAGCAACGTCTGATCCACAGTCTTGGCCTCGCCTCTCAGAGCTGTTTGCCCAGGGGGGCTCCCAAGGGTCCCCTAGGAGAAACAAAACATGAGGGCCCACTCAGAAAACCTACGCAGACATACAGCAACCATCTTCTTCCTTGGTCGGGTGGCCAGCCAAATTTCTCTGTACTTGAGAGGGTTCCCTGATGTGCCTTGTCTGAACTGAACTCTCGCAATGCAAACTTTCAGAAGAAGGGCTACTCTTGGAAGAACTTGGCATAGGGCAGAGGAGAAAATGCCCTCTGGGATGAAGCAGCATAAAGAAGCGCACCTCCAAATGAGAATACCAGCAATAATCTATGGTATTTATTTAATCTGGGTATCAGAGGCATTTTGGCCAAGGTCAGTTTTTGTATCATTGCTCTAATAATACTCTTCTTGTTCAAGCAAAAAGAAAAAAAAAAGGTTATGTACTGATTGTCTGGCAGTACCTACAAAAGGATTGATGAAGAGATTCAACACTCATAAAATATGGTAATTGTGTTTTTACATATGTTCAGTGGACTGGAGCGAAATTGTGAAAAGATCTCCAAATAAAGCTGATACTCTTACCCCTCTCTGTTCAAAAATGTGGCTCTTAGACCAGGAGCATAAGCAAAGAAAAGCTTCTTAGTAACATAGGTGACTGGACCCCAGCTGAACTTGCAGAATCAGTGTCTGTGTCCTAACCAGACCCTCATGACGTTCAAGTACAAACCAAAGTTTGAAAAGCTCTCTGCACAGTGTTTCTGAAGCCACAGGGAGAGTGATGCTCTGGATCCCACATTCGTGTTGATTTCCAGAACAATATTGCTTTCACCCATGGCCTTTCTTATCTGTCAAAATAATCTTGCCCACAAAGGAACTGTAAGCTTGTGTGTGGCTAAGGGTTGAGGAACTCATAAATGCATGAATGAAATCTGATAGTCTTATACCATGTAAAGAACATGTTCAGCATTTCAAGGAGTCTCCTATGACTCAGTGTTTGAGAAGAAATGTTTTGTGTCTGGTGCCCCTGCAGAGAATCATCCGGCTGTGATGAGTTAAGTGTGCCACAGGGGATTCCCATCTCATGCGTGTACTCAAGTACAAGGCCATGAACAGCAGGTGGGTGCACGACCCTCTAGCGCCTCCTCACACAAGCAGGCATATGCATGCCGATGGACACACACCCTGCAGGCGTCACGGAGAGTATCATGGATGAAAGCCTGTGCCGTTAGGTGACACTCTTCTGTAAAGACAGTTACTGGTATTGGATTCCACTAGAGCAGGAACCCTGAGACCCAGAAAAATCAAGGCGAGTAAACTACGCTATTAGGAAAATAATAAAATGATCTTAAAATCTGGGCGTATCTCGGTTTCCTTAGTTATGAATCCTCTTCCATGAGGGGGGAGTGTGCAAATCACCATCTGGCCCCGCACTTGGCAGGATGGCTATAAGGTAGATGTGAGGCAATCCCAATTCATACACCAAAGGGAGCAGTGTGTCTTTAGTTATTCAGGAATTTTTAAGTTGCTCTTGCTTATAATTTCATGTGAGTGCTTTAGATCTCCATTCTTTAGGGGAAAATATGATGGTATAGTCAGACATTAGCTATTTTAGTTATTATTGATTTTATGTATGTTGTTGTATATTTAATGGGAAACTAATGCTACATGCATGTTTACAGCTTTTCCATTGCACTATTGAAATGTTGTTACAGTATTTATATCAATTTTCAGTTGAATGTGATCAATATTAGCAGCCTTGCTCACTTATATTTTATATGGTACAATGAGACAGCATAAAATTTAGCAATATTTTCCATGTTCATTTAGTATGCCAGTTTTCACATTTGTAAGACTTGCTCATGTTATAGATTGTATCACACATAAACACTCAGAATGTCTTAAAACCCAGTCCATGTACACATCAATAAACCACATTGTTATTGTGATAGTAAGCAGCTCTTCTTTGAAAATTTCTATTTTCCCAGATACACTGAACTATTATTATTTCAGACAAAATACTCTCCAGTTAGTACAGTCAGCAAAGATGCAGGTAGCAATCTTATTTGATTATATCTGGGTAGATTGCTAAGCAAAACAGTTTTTAACATTCAACTAGAACATATTCCAATGAATAGAAGATCTTCAACTCAAAGTACCTTGTGCAGTTTGAAATGTATCAAACGCATTAGGCCTGCTCAGTCAAACTGTTCAAAATGTGCTCCATTTGAGAAACCAGGAAGTGAAAAATGAGACATCACCGTCATCCCCAAGTGTGTCTCATCTTGTTAGTGAGACAGGTGCTAACATCCCGCCTTGTAGCTGATGACTTCAGACGTGAAGCCCAGATCACTCACCGGTCTTCATTTGGGACAAGGACTTCTATATTACCAAAGTGTAAATTAAAGTACTTTTTTATAAAAGATTTATTTATTTTTATTGGAAAGTCAGATATATAGAGAGGAAGAGAGAGAGAGAAAGATCTTCCATTCGCTGATTCACTCTGCTAGTGGCCATAACAGCCAGAACTGAGCTGATCCAAAGCCAGGAGCCCAGATCCTCTCCAGGTCTCCCACGTGGGTGCAGGGTGCCAAAGCTTTGGGCCGTTCTCTATTGCTTTCCCAGGCCACAAGTAGGGAGCTGGATGGGTAGTACGGCTGCCAAGACACAAACCGGCACGCATATGGGATTTTTGCATGTGCAAGGCAAGGACTTTAGTTGCCAGGCTACCCGCTGGACCCCATAAAGGTACTTTTAGAAGTGACATTTATACTCCAGTATGTGACATTTCTACTCTGGTGTGTTTCTGTCTCCATTGTTAGGTTTCTTGGTACATTATCAGATGGAGAGAGGTGAAAGGAAGGGAAGGAACGGGAAGGGAAAGGAGAGGAGAGGAAAGCATGGGAGGGGAGGAGAGAGCATTGGAGGATTATCTAGGGCTTGGTTATGGTACCTTGCTGTCATGGTTAGGGTCAGACATTGACCGTGTGACCAAATGAAGACCATCAGTCCCTTTTTCTTAGCTTTCATTCCGGCTAGTTTTTCCTTGCCTGTTAAACTTTTGAAATAACTAGCTTTGAGTGGTATTTTCTCATAGCATGCCATGATATGATTTTTTTTTAAATGAAAGGTATTAGCATTTCAAGTCTAGATTTCCAAGGTCTGTGGTATGTAATTGAGATCCAGTGTGTGATTATCCAACTCTGTGTAGGTCCAAGATGCTCTTATTTAAGACTTAAACTTAGACTGAGGCTTCACATTTCAAATCTCTAAATGACTAAGAAAACCAACATTTTCACCTTTGGAAAACAGTTTCTCTCTCAACAGAATAACTCAGAAGCCAACCTTTGGGTTGTGAACGGCCCTGAGTGGTTTTGTTCTCGGTGTATATGTGACTTCTGAGCAGCGCGAGAGTCTCCAGAGTTAGCTTTGCAAGATGATTCAATTAAAACTTCAGCGGCATCTAAAGAATAAAATAGTCACTTCTACTTTGAAAGCACTGGCATTTTTCAGCCACTGTTTTGTTACAGTTGTGATTTTATTTTTAAAAGGATTCTGAAAGCATCTGTCTTCAGAGTAAGAAAGGCACTGAGAGAAGTGTGTGAGAAAGGCAAGGTAGTTGTAATCAACTCGAGTCCCACGTAAAAACGACCTTCTTCGTAGGGAGAAGTTGCTATGTGGGCTCTGTGTACATGCCTAGACTTAAGAAACACGAATGGACTACGTCCAACTATTTTCTACCCAAAGTTTTTCCACTAAATACATGATGGAAAAAGAAACGTGAGGCAAAAATAAAGCTTGCAGCCATTTCACTCCATCTGTGTTTTCTGTTCCTTCTCCCGTTGCACTCAATTTCCTTTTAACTTGATCCGTACTGGGTTGACTGTTGAATCCCATTGCCTAGCTAGCCCATCAAGTCAGGGAATTTTGAAGTCTAGAAAACAATCACTCCAAATTAAAAGTTGTGGACATTTAGATTTCCAAAAATTGATGACAGGAATGCATATTTTTTTTCTTAAGTTGGTAGTCGGTGGTATGTAAAAAGAGAAGGCTGTTGATTAAAGTTCAAGCCTAAGAAAATTATAAGAAGGAAACATGGTAGTTAAGGCAATGGATACACAAATGTAAAAGCCAAGGATGTCATGAATGTAGGTCCAGGCCACATGGATATAATAATACCAGAGTGGGAACACTCTACATCAAGATTTGTCCTGTACCTAGCAATTTTTGTGTTTTGTACACGTTATTAGAATGTCCTGTATCCTACATCTTTCAATCAATTACAAAATGGCATAGGCACTAGAATGACCCTCAAATATGGGGCAGGTATTGTGCACAGATTAAGCCACTATCTTCCATAGTAGCATCCTAGATTGGACAACCAGTTCAAATCCCAGCTACTCCAGTCCCACCTTACATGGCAGCAGATAGGCCCCTGTCACTCACAGAGAGACCCTCCAATGTAGCTGGAAACATTGTTCTTTAATTTGCTCAATCTGGCAAACCTACATGGCATGCTCACATCCTTCCAAATTATGTTCTTCTCTAGAGAAGAAACAAATACAGGTCTCTCTGTGTGAGGAGGTAGAACTCATACAACCAAGCATACGGAAGAGAGAATTTTGGAAACATCTTCTCCACTAGGAAATTAGCCAGACACAAGGGAACAGATGCCGTGAGGAGCAGCATGCTCTTCAGGCCTGCCTAAGGAGGAAAGACCCAGCGCCCTCATGTACTGGGCTCACAAGTGCACTGCTGCCCGGACTCTCCAAACCTCATGGAGTTATTTTCAGAGTCCATCGCTGAGTTTCCTATCTCCTACCTCATGGTGTCCTTCTTAACAAGGCTCCTCTAATTCTCATCCCCTTAAGGAAACGCCCACTTCTCCAAAGCATCCAGCCAGGTAGAACCATTTAAAGTCAGATTCCAACTACTGTGTTTGACTGCATAGTACCGACTCCAGGAAACAAAATCAGACTTGTTGATTTGGAGGACTGAGTGACCTGTAAGTTTATTATCGCTGTTATTGTTCGTCTTACAGATTTGCTTATTATAATGGAAAAATAAAGTGCTTCCAAAAAGGTGATTGGAAAGGAGTTCAAAGAGAAGATTTTTTTCTTTTTTCATTCACTGGAGTTTAGCTATCTTCTTTCATCTGCAATCAAATTTTTGGATTAAGGATGTTGTACTAAATCAAATTGTTACAGGAAACATGACTGTATCAGGGAATTTTCACAAAAACAAACCTCCAGATCACAGAAGGAAGCCGTGGATGTGCGCTGACATGAGTATTAAATAGCAGCCAGGAGAGGAAGGCAGGCTGACAGCCAACTTGGAGCTGTTTTTGAGGAATTATTTCTGTAGGGTGTCACGGAATTTTAAGTTACCCAAAGAAGGCTTTGGTAGATAACATCTCCCTTAAAAAAGGATCCACTCCAAAAACGTACTTAATGAATTTCACGGACATGTTATGGAGAAAGAAATCCCAAATGACACACAGATTGTAACCCCTGGCAACATGTACTTACTCTCCACTGTGTCTGTGACTCTGGCTACAGACAGAGCAATATCCAGTCCCCCAGCCCTGCCTCTAGTGGAAGATGCTTGTTTCACTCCGACTTCTAAATTGTGTTTGGGCTTGGGCTTCTCAAGGACCAAGTGCTGTTTGAGCATCGCTGGAAATTTCACACAAACTAATGTGTGTACACCTGTCCCCCTGAACTTGATTGTGCACTGATGAATGAGTTGTGAGTGTGTCCTTGTACCTGCTATGAATTTATACTTCTTTTTGTCAAGCCATTTTTTATTTTCCTATGTTTCTTTGTAACATTATTTTTGTTGTTGTTCTTGTTCTGTTTCTGGTGTATGGGATCACTCTAGCCTGCAAAATAACAGCAAATACAATAAAGCAAATTTTCTGGTTTCGAGTTTCTTCCCCTTTTACTAGAATGAAAACACTGCTATAGTGGCTTTCGGATAGAGACTGACTAAGCATGTCTGAAGAGAGCTCTGAGATAAACGCTTGAAAAATGATCTTTTCCTGGGATAGTAGCCACAAGAAGTTGGGAATGTCCAAGGCCTAACATCGTGCTCAGATGTCATTTTATAGCAGTGCCTAAAGGAAGTTCTTTTGCTTCCTTTCAATCAGAGAATACAAAGTGAAGCTCCAAGTCTCATCTCGTACCACTCAATTTTTCCAGGATGATGAGTCAACAATTCAAGATCCAGTTGCCCTTAACAACATCCTTTCGGTACTGCATCCCTAAACACAGTCTCTTATCATCCATAGCTCTTTTAAGAATGAAGGAGACAGAGGTAGGGCTGTGACTCTCAAACAATAACCCACATAGTAGAGTCCCACACAACAGAAGCTGCTCTCCAAGCTGTTTCCTGGGGAAACCACACCCACACTGAGCGGTGGCTGCCACTCCTAACAGTCCCATGTGGCTCTTCCAGAACCTTCGCCTTGGGAATCTTGGCTGGTTCACTGCCACAGTCTACTGGGCAGGCAGGTCTCTCTTGTTGCGAAGATGTCATTCTCTGATTGAGAGCTGGAGATGAACAAACCTGGTACAGCTTGAAGATTCTATTTGGCAAGTAAGCAAGATGTTTTCAAGAGCGATCACCGTCACCTGGGGCCCAGTACCGACGCCCACTGGAGGGGTGGCATTGTTTTGGTCTGCACAGAATTCCCCAAATTGGATAGGTTCTGCCCCATTTTCTCAAGTGCTGCTTGCCCTTGGGGTGACCTTGGCTGAGAACTGGGCTGCTCATGTCCACTGTACTGCCTACCTTGTGTTATGAGGATAGTTTGTTTATAGCAGGCATGAAACCGTGGTTCTGGGCTGGCAGCACGGCATTCTGGCGGCCACAAATTCCCTTCCTGGAATGCATGATTTTGTTCACCTGCTGAAAAAGAAAAAAAAAAAAGTCAGGCAATCAAATATAACTATTT